GTTTTCAATTTCAAAAATTATTTTCTACTCTAGTAAAAATAAAAGATATTTCTCAAAAATATTTTTTCATTCATAAATCAAACACTAAAAAAAATTTCGGAAAATATTTTCTACTCACCAACTAAACATGAGAAAATAAGTCAAAAATCAACTTGTTTTCCAGGATAACATTTTCTAGGAAAACATTTTCCATGGAAAACATTTTCCTTCATACCAAACACACCCTAAATTGAGCTCAATTGAAGATTCTTTTTTAAATGAGTTAAGACTTAAATGGTTTGAGATTGAACCCAATTCAAATTATCTTGAACTCAATTCATAAAATTATGAACGGGTTGGACAAATTACATATATATATATATATCCACACCACTACACCAAAAATGATATTTAATAACAATAACTTAATTGCCACCAAATATGTATTTTTAGTGGAAATTCACACTCTTTATAAATGTAGTTAAAGCCTATAACGAGATTGGATCCAATGACGATTAACTAATGTCGGTAAAAGCTTTAACACTCTTTGCTAATGTGTATATTTATTACCGTTAAAAGTTGTTTTTGCTGTAATGCACACACATAAATATAAAATAAATCTTTTAAAAATATAATAACAGTGTAAGATAGGAAACAAATAATGCAAAAAGATATATGGTGTCATATAAGTTAAGAAAATTCATAGAATTAATTACTCATCCTTAGGTGTATATCTCCATATATATATATATACTCACATACAACAATCACTCTGTTTTATTTCATCCTTTCAATGGAAGACCACAACTCTAAGCAAAATGAACCTCTTCTTTCACAAACAGAAATCAGTACATCTGATCTTGATAATAATAATAGTCTGATAAGAAGTTCTTTTGGTTCTTCATTTGTTGCTGATGCTGATGATATTCCACCTATCACTGGAATTCAAGATTTCTTTAGAGAGTTTACTGTTGAATCTAAAAAATTATGGTACCTTGCTGGTCCAGCTATTTTCACCTCAATTTGTCAGTACTCTCTTGGTGCTGTTACTCAAACATTTGCTGGTCATCTTGGCACTCTTGAACTTGCTGCTGTTTCTGTTGAAAATTCTGTCATTGCTGGTTTCTCTTTTGGTGTCATGGTACGTAATTCTCGTTGAAAAATGTTCAGTAGCTATTGAATCGGTGAGAAAAGAAAAAAAATGTTATATTTTTTTTTACAAATTATCAGTTAGTATTTCAGTAAGAATTTATTTTTCATCATATATTTTTCTGGTGATTGATGAGCTGATTTGATGTGTGTAGTCATTGTTACATCTCATAATTATTGGAATAGTTTGTTCATCTTAAATATTAGTTGTTGAAAAAAGAAAGTTTGTTGAGAGGAAAGAGATTGATAATTAATTTCATCTCACTCTGGACCTCACCTCACAGAGTTTATCATGTTAGGCCCTCCCCCATATCGAAAAAGTCAGTATTTAAAATTTATGAATTTTAAACGTTTTATTTTTTTAGGTTATTGATTTTTTCAATGATTTTCAAGATGGATCAAGAATACATAATTATTTTATTATTATAATATATAGAAATAAGATATATTGTCCTTATTCTTGAGAGATTCCCTTTTTACCTCTTTCATATAGAAATAACTATTGCTTTGTATATCTTGTTGTTTTAATAGATAACTACACTTTGTAGTTTTCTAAATAAAAAAAATACAAAATTTTTTTGTATTATTATCTTAAAATCTTATTTTTGTATTATATGCCAGTGGCTTAGAACTTACTTGAAAGGCAGATATTGACTATAAATTTCATGGACCTCACATACTTTATCATGTTAGGCGCCTCATATCATGTTGCAAATGCGGAATCAATGTTTGAAATTTATATATTTATTTTAAATTAATAATTTGTACATATTTAATAAATTTTCAAGATATATATAATATTTGAACCAAAGCTATTAGAATCGGTTGTCATCCTGTACTAGATATTTAATGCTTGGTGTGCAAGGTGTTAAACCCTAGATTAATTCGTTATGAGATATTTCCTGCCTTTAGAAATCTTCACCTCATGAATTAGCTTTTCGGATTGAGTTACACCCTGAAATCTATTCAATTTTTTTTTGTTTTGTTTTGTTTTGTATGGACAGTTGGGTATGGGAAGTGCACTAGAAACACTATGTGGACAAGCATTTGGAGCAGGACAAATTGACATGTTAGGTGTATACATGCAAAGATCATGGGTTATTCTCAATTCAACAGCAGTAATCTTAATGTTTCTTTATATTTTTGCTGCCCAATTTTTAAGATTAATTGGACAAACAGAGGATATATCAAGGGAAGCAGGGAAAATGGCTTTATATATGATTCCTCAATTATTTGCATATGCTATGAATTTTCCAATAGCCAAATTCTTACAGGTAACAACAGAGACGAATTCACAATTTAAATTTAATACGTATAAACATAATGTGTTGAACATTTGATATTTTGGTGATTTTTAGTCACAAAGCAAGATTATGGTGATGGCATGGATTGCAGCAATAGCTTTGGTTTTTCATACATTTTTTAGCTGGTTGCTTATGTTGAAGTTGGGGTGGGGACTTGTCGGTGCCGCGGTGGTGCTCAACTCATCATGGTGGTTCATAGTGGTGGCGCAAATGTTATATATATTTAGTGGTACTTGTGGACAAGCATGGTCAGGTTTCTCATGGAAGGCTTTTGTTAATCTATGGGGCTTTGTTAGGTTATCTCTTGCCTCTGCTGTCATGCTATGGTTAGTAAATTAATCAACATTTCGTTTTCTCTGTCTTTGTTCTGCTTGCTTACGACATATTCAGTATAATATCAATAAGTCTAAGTTTAAAAATGATAGAGTACTATAGGCAGATTTTATCCCTATTTCAAATAAAATATTCCGTCTTAAACTTATAAAACCAACTTTAATTTTTTTTATTAAATACCCTTATGAAAGAGAAGGCAACCATCCATATACATAGTTGATAGACATATAAGACCAAGACACGTATTAGAGTCCAAATTTGTTAAATATTTGGGGATCTTTTCTTTTTGCAATTTTTAATCTTTGAGAATGACAAGAGCAATTATGCAAGAAATCAATCTACCATAACTTTCTTTATTATTTCCTAACAAGAAAAGTATACTCGTTTTTTAAAAGATCAAATAAGATAATATCATCAGCAGTACCTTTGAGACTTTTGGTCCAAGTCGTTAACTATTTTTGATAAGTGTAATTATTATGGTTTTGTTGATGTAACTATTAGAGTAATAAATATCAATAAGACTTAACTAAAAGTCTCGAATTCGATTCGAGTCTTTCTGAGTATGAAGTCATCTATTAGACAGTGTTTTACCTTAGAATATGGACTTTTCGGTATAAATTTAAATTTAATCGGACTTCAATCAAAACGAAAGGAAAAGTTAAAGTAATAAATATATATGTTTATGCAGCTTGGAGACTTGGTACTTTATGGCGTTAGTCCTGTTCGCTGGTTATTTGAAGAATGCAGAAGTCGCTGTTGATGCCTTGTCCATTTGGTGAGTGCACACAAATTACTTTTGTCTAAAAAGTTGAGTCCTTTATAATATTTATTTATTCATTACCATTATTGCTATTTGTTATTTTATAGTACTATATTTATTTTTTTTGTTCTTAGCTTTATGGTTAGAGAGATGTATTGAAAACATCCCTAAATTTGACGTGAATTGTTAGTTTTGTTCATAAATATTGACAGTTTAAAAAACATTTTTCTATTTGCCAGCTTAAATGCACCCCTAGTTGCTACATGGCATAGCAAGTGATCTCAAATTCTTGTAGGAGTATGAGATTCTTGATAAAAAATTGAGAAAAATGTTAAACATACTCCTAAACTTGACGTGAATTTAGGGATGTATTTCACCCATGTGACAAGATCAGAGAGTGTATATAATTTCAGTTAGTCAAGTAGAGGAGTTTTTTCAAAGTTGTCAATAATTTTGGGCATAATACATAAACATGATCCTTAACTTGACTTCAACTGACAACTATGACTTTTAACTTTGTGTGCACACAAGTAATCATTTAAACTTGTATTAAATTGAACAAATAGACACATTGACCCTATATTGCATTCTACTTGGTAATTTTGTGTCCTAGTGGCGTCCTACGTGTATTATGTCACGTAGGACACATGTGTCCACTTATTCAATTTTATACAAGATTAAGTGTTTACTTGTGCACACCCCAAATTGAAGGACATTAATGTCAACTAAAGTCAATTTAAATAGCATATTTATGTATTATGCCATAATTATAAAAATAAAACTAATAATTTACATCAAATTTAAAAGCGTTTTCAATACTTCTTTCTCGTACTTATTCTATTTTAGTGAACAGCTATATTAGACGACAAATTATTGTTTGACAGTCCCACATTTTGTCCCTTAACATTTGGAGTAGGTGAAGTAATTTAGAGATCAAGAATCTAATAATTACTAATAGCATACCCTACCCTTTATGAATTATTTACTCCAATATAATAAAATATCATTTTCAGCAGAGTCTGCCTTTTACTGCTAACTAGTGTTAAAAGGCAAAAACAAACTTTGATACGGCATCGGAGAACAAATTTAATATACCTAATTTTATAACTTGTATATACCAACCATTCACATGAAATTTATATTTAACAATGTCAATATGCAAAGGTTATTGGGTAAGTAGTTGCATTAATTAATTGTATTGGACGTTTCTAAATTCTTGTTATCCTTGTTAAAAAGTAGTAGTATTTGATCATTTTAGAAAATTAATATAATTAGTTGTTTGTTTCTATTTTTACCTACTATTAAAAAGTCAATATTTTCCCACTATTATTTAATTATGTATGGAAAGATTGAAGTTTTCACAATTTCATTAAAAAATTATTTTTTACCATGTACTTTTCTAATAAACTGGTTAAGTGGAAAAGATTTTACCATTTATTTGTAATGGAAAAAACTTTTAAGGAAGGTGTAAAACAAAATAAGACTAAGTATTTAAGAACGGAGGGAATACTATACTCCTAAAAAGTAATACAGAATTAAACAAATCAACTTTAAAAAATAACTAACGTTAGTCACGTTCCATGAGAATTGAGATGAAACCAATAATTTATTTTTGGATGCAAGAATATATCACTATTGACCCTTCGATATTTTGTAATCTAGGATTAGTAAGGTTTTAGTATACAATTTTATTTACACCTTGTGTTTCTAGTAAACTGATATCCATTTTTATTTGATTTTTTATTTTTTACTTCTAAAGTTAAATTAATTAATATGATGCAAATTTTAGGATAATAGGTAAAAAGTATACCAAGGCTCTAGACCCCTAAATATGCACATTTCTAGTTCATGTTTGTCTAAAGAAATTGTGGAATTGCAGCATGAACATACTAGGATGGGCAGTTATGGCAGCTATTGGATGCAATGCAGCTATAAGGTTTGTTACAATCCAAAATGACTACATTAATTATGTACCAGACGGAGTCGTTTGGTAGCTGGATAAAAAATAAGTTATTCATGTATTAATTTCCGTATTACTTATATGACGTTTGGTTGACAATTTAGAAACTCACATAACTACATGTATAAGCTATGAGGGAAGGTGAGATAACTAATATCTGCATAACTCTAACCAGCTACCAAACGACCCATAGTACGTCTCTTATACATACATCTAACATGATGAGATAAAATATGTTTCAGTGTTAGAGTGTCAAATGAACTCGGGGCAGCTCATCCAAGAACGGCTAAATTTTCAGTGGTGGTGGTAGTGTTCTCTTCATTCTTGATTGGGCTTCTCTTATCGGTGTTTCTACTGGTCTTTCGAAGTCAATACCCTAGCTTATTCGCGGAGAGTGAATCAGTTAAGCGTCTTGTTTATGAATTGACACCATTACTAGTATTTTGCATGGTGGTTAACAATATTCAGCCAGCTCTATCTGGTGTTGCTATTGGAGCTGGATGGCAAGCTTTGGTTGCTTATGTCAATATTGCTTGTTACTATTTGTTTGGTATTCCATTGGGTTTAATTCTTGGCTATAAATTCAACATGGGTGTCCAAGTAAGTGCAAACATTTCAATTTTATATACATAAAAGTAGACTTTTTTATATTTAACCTATTATTTAAGTACTTACAAATTTTGTTTATGATGTTAGGGAATTTGGTATGGAATGGTTAGTGGAACTGTAATTCAGACATTTGTACTCTTTTGGATAGTTTACAAAACCAATTGGAACAAAGAGGTAAGTAATTACTTGTTATTATAGAATGTACATAGTAATAGCGCGAAAGAACTTTATATTGTTGATGTATAAAAATTAAATCATCCGTCCCTTGTAATTGAGTTGCCTTAGTTCCCTTCCCCCTCCCCAAACTCATAAAAATTGCCCTAGTACAATAAGTATTGAGAAAACAAACTTATAGTGCAACACCTTTATTTCAACAATAGATTTAATGGTCTTCTTACATAAGTTTTAGGCAGGCTGAAGTGCATATATATCCAATTTTAGCGCCATTTTTAAAGTTATGCCTGAGTTTATAACTTCAGATATACGGTGACTGAACTATACATGATTGAAGTTCAGACATTTTGCTTGAACCCTAGGGATATATGATTGAAGTTTAGTCTTTTTTGTCTGAACTTTAGCCATATATGGTTGAAGTTCAGTCAGTTTATCACATATGACTGAAGTTCAATCATTTATGCCTCAACTTCAGATAGAATATCAGAACTTCGACCATATGAAACTTCAGATTATTTCTTTAACATCAAATGTCTGAAGTTGGTCGATAGGTGGTAAACATGCAAAAAATTTAAAAATTTAGATACCCCATGAAAATTTTACAAGTCATACTGGACATTGATATTTATTGGGCTTCTTCACTATCTATCAAAGTTTTGTAACACAAAGTATGAAAAATGCAGGCTTCTATTGCAGCAGCAAGGATTAAAATGTGGGGAGGGGAACCAGCAAATGAAATAGAGAAATAAACTTTGACTTGGCAAGTAATTGTATTAATTAAGTCCATCAAATGTATGTGACAATTTTTTTGGAAATTTGAGTTGCTTTTGCACTATTCAATGTAACGTTGCTGCTCTCAGTACGTATTATATATTGAGCATTGTAAGGTACTTTTGCCCAAAATTATTCTTTTTTTGGAAGCTGCAAATCAAACCTCTTATACATCAATAAACAATAATATACAAAACTCTGATTATTTTTCTTACAACAATATTTAAAAACTTGATATATAATATTATACACCCAATATATAATATTATACAAAATTATAGGAAGTCTTTATACACTCATATACAAATGCAGTACTATACAAAATTTCGACTTCGTCTTCACCCCTGAATCCAAGTATATTAAGTCGCCGAAATTTTAGATTTTAAGCTCCTAGATACGTAACTGATATTTTGTAATAATACCCGTTCAAAACAGAGCTTATTTAAAGAAATTCAATTTTCAAACTTTGAGCTTCAACCATGTCTGACACCAATTTTTATGTAGGGAAAAATGACAAATATACTCCGAACTATCGTAAATAGTATGTAGATATCCTCCGTCATCTTTTGGAATATTGGTGTCCCTGCCGTTTAAAAACTAGAGCATATATGCCCTTCACTCTAACGGAAGACTAAATAGGGACATGTGGCATAATCTTATCCGTCCATCCGATATTTAATAAATGTCAAGATTATGACACGTGTATGTCCGTTAGTATAAAGGGTATATATGCTCTAGTTTTTGGACGGCAGGGGCACCAATGTCCCAAAAGTATGACGGAGGGTATCTGCATACCATTTACAATAGTTCGGGGTATATTTATCCTTTTTCACTTTTATTTATAACTAGGGAATCAACTCGCGCTTCGCGCAATTGATAAAAACTTCGTATTTAAAATTTTATTATATATATTTTTATTTTTAAATGTTGAAATAACATAATATAACTTCTGAAATCTAAAATGAGTTGTTACTTTATTTTTTGAAATATAATCTAAACAAAATTTATAATTTTAATTCATAAGTATTTTGCAAAACTTCTAAATTTTTAAAAGCGAAACTAAAATGAACAAAGAATACAAAGGAGGAACGGAAATGTCAACAAAGAAAATGTGTAACATTTATTAAGTTGATGGAAGGCTCTTAAAAAATTAAATATAAAATTATATATAATTCTTCGTTCATGTTTCATAGACAACAACACTAA